CTTTTGTAATGAATTATATACATTCTTTGACTTCCGACAGAGTGAGAGGCTGGATTATTTTATATTGCGAATAACGGAAGTGATAAGTAAAAAACAGTTTTTTTATATATATGTATATGGGTTTCAGCCTTTTATATAATGCTTTTCGTTTTTGGTATATGAGTTTTCGTTTTCGGTAAGGAGTTTTTTTTTCTTTTGGGGGGAATCATGCTTGATGAATAATGATGTTTTGTTTGGACAGTTGTTGGTTGTGTGTTATCCCTGATGACCCATTGGACCTGTAGTGGGTATACCTCTCTCTACATGCACATGTACACATACACACAGTCTCTATTTCTCTCTCTTTTTCTCTCTCATATATATATGTGCACATACAATCATTAGGATACATTGTATACATACATTACCTTTGGTGTTGCCTGTGATGACGGAGCCGGCGGCTGGGCACGAGGAGTGGCCGGACTACGAGGGGCCGGAGGGGGCGCGGCTTCGGGCGGAGGCGTCGGCCCTCGGCGCACGGCGGTCGGCGCTCTTTGACGAGGCGACGGCGAAGCGCAACGCCGGTGACGTGGCGGCCGCCAACGCGTTGGTGCGAGAGGCGCAGGAGGCGGGACGCGAGATGGAGGCCCGCAACGCCGCCGCCGCGGAGGCGATCGCGCGGTACAACAACGAGGCGAAGGGGAAAGGCGACGACTTCCTCGACCTCCACGGGCTGCGGGAGGCGGAGGCCGTCGCCCTCCTCCGCCAGCGCCTCGCCCGCCTCCGCGCAAAGCCGGCGGGGACCGTCACGGCGCTGGAGCTCATCCCGGGCGCAGGACACCACTCCGCGCCGGGAAAGCAGAAACTGATGGCCGCCGCACAGGCAGTGCTGAAGGAGGAGCAGCTCAGCTACAAGGAACTCACCGTGGGCTCCATGATGGTGGAGGTGGTGGGAACAGGTGAGGCGGCAAAGGCAGCGCCAGTGGAAGAAGCAAAGAAACCAGAGGCAGCGGAAGAGAGGGTTAAACCGGCTGCAGAAGCAGCGCCAAAGAAAGACGTCAAGAAGCCAGAGGCAGCGGCAGACGCTGTTAAACCAGCAGCTGAAGCGGGGCCAAAGGAACGAACAAAGAAGTCAGAAGCTGATGCTTCTAAAGAGAAGAAGAAGAAAGAGAAGAAAAGCAAAATTTGCAAGTGTTGTTCGATTATGTAGTCCTTGCATCGGGTACTTCATTATTTTTTATATTGTCCCTCTAAAATTTTTCTTATTTACTTTGGAATGGTGATGTGTCTCGCCTTAGGACAGACTGCTCAAAATATGCATGTCCATATATCTCTATCATTCTTCTGGCTATAAATTGGGTAATTGATATGCCAGACATATTTTATATGATGTCCACGACTCTAGGAAGTAGGGGGTTGTTGCCAATCTCTTTATCCGTGGAGTGGGCTGTTTTGAATATATATATATATATATATATATATATATATATCGCATTTATATTGATGCTGCTCTTTATTTGAGCTCATAGTAGTGTTTATATTGATTGACGTGCTCTTGCGGCGTAATTGTTGTTTTGTAATTTCTTTCTTTGACGAAGGATATTGACTAATTTATCAGTCTTAGAATGGGATATTGCGTTCATATTGTTTTTTGTTATGTTTGTATTGGTTGGACAGAACCTTTGCCGTATATGTTGTTTTTCCATTACTCTTGCATTGGTTACCTTTGTTTTCTCACATTTGTTTTTATTTCCCCTTTATTCATTTTTCTTGGCTCTCACACTCCGATGTAGTGAAGGTTATTCCTGGTAGAGTTTTCTCTGTTACGGCCCTTTTTATTGCTATTCTGAGTTTAAATATGAATCATATTGAACTCCAATGAAGTTCATGGAAATCTGAGAAGCCCATAATGAGAGCCTTGTTGTGAAGAGGTTTAAAACATATACATATATTTTCTGGCCATCGTGTTATCCACAATACTAATATAGCAACTCATGTACGATTATGAGTGGATAAAACACATATATGTTCCGTTCATGAACTCCCCATTTATTTATAATGAAAGTCATGCTTGGACGCATCCACATGACTACACTTTTCGTGAAGTTTGTTTATATAATGTAGTGTAAAGGGAGTTTGGGTGTCTTTTCGCTGAATCGTTTTTTTTTTTTTTTTTTCTTCCTCTGGCGACCCATGATATGAGATTTCCCACGTGGAAAAGGTGGGGAGAGAAAGTTGTTCTTTTTTCTATTTTTGCAAAGAATAAAAGCTAATGATTACTTCAAAATAAATGACAAGATATTTGGTGTAAGAGGAAAAAAAAAACAAGCTTATGTTTGCACAGAAATAAGCATAAATGCAAGGAAACATATGTATGGAGTCCAGAAGGTTATATTACAAGAGGTCAGTACTACAGTTGTTGTGCTCTCGGTTGTATACTAATATTTTTTATGCTGATGTAATGATGATTTTCATTTTTTTTTTTTTTTAATCTTTTGTTTCTCGTTGGTTTGAGCATGACTCGGATATAGTTAAACTTCTGGTGATTGATGATGTTCTTCCCAATAGAAGAAGAAATACCTCTTTAAAATACAGTGTATATGTCATTTGTTTATATTATTTCTTTATTTTTTTTTTCTTGTACTTCTCACTTTCTTTAAAAAAAAAAAAAAAAGAAAACACTATTTAGTCTCATGGCAGCAAATGTTTATCTAGATGATACATTGGTGGAAATGGACGGTGCGGTGCAGCACCTTCTCTACATTGACGAGGACAGTGGCAAGTGTCACGTGGCATTCGTGACAGCACCAAAAACTTCTAATGAAGAAGAACAGCAGCAGGCAATAATTAGTGGGATAGAGGCTATTGACGCTGATGCTGATGCTGATGCGCTAGAATTTTTTAGCGATTAAAATCCAGGGAAGTTATTGAGATTAGACAATATTAACACCTGATGTGTTTGATAAGTGCTGATTGTACCCTATTTGGGGGTGGGGTGGTGTAAATATGGGTAATGGTCAAATATAACTTCTTGAGATGTTTTGTTAATAATGTGAATTATTTAGTTATCTCTTCCTTTTGCTGTGCCAAGGACTCCCTAGCTCCAGGAACGATAAAAGATAGAGAACAAGTCGCTAAATTGTGGTGACAGCGATATCACTTAAAAATACATTACTAGCATGCCATTAATAATTGAAAGACGACTACTGTGTGATTTTGATTCTCTTTTTTAGAGGACAAAGTAAAGTAATCGACGTTGCTCAATCTATTCGTTATTTACGTTGATGAAAAGATTAAAAGTCATTATGAATTATACAGAATAGAAAGAGCATTTTTTTTTTTTTTAGTGGTTTTTCTTCTGCTGCTTTTCTTGCTTCTGTGACATTGCTGATTCTGCTGGCCTCTCTTTTTTTTTTTCTCTCTTTCATTTCTTCCATATTTTACACATTTGCCTATGCAACTAGATAAGATACGACTTTACAAGAGTGAGAAATGCCCCCACGGCGCCATCGTCGCCATGCCAGTGCCGGCGTAGCAGAAGCAATGCCAAAAGCCAAAACACAGGAACAACAACAACAACAACAGCCAGAAGAAACTCCCAAAGTGGAAATGCAAGATGTGAAAACTGCAGAGATCGTCGCCCCAAAGGTGGTGCCGGTAGAACCTATTCCTCCCCCTCCTCCTCAGGTTGCTGCTGATGCTAATACTCCTGCAAACACAACAGTACTACAAGAAAACAGCACCGCAGAGATGCAGATGTCGGCTGTACCAACCTCTACAGTGCAGACAGAGACGACGCGATCGGTAGTCACAAAGTTGGCGAAGAAACGAAAGCCCAAATTGTCGTTTTTATTCGAAGAAGAAGGGCAAGATGTCGATGACGCGAAACGGAAACCAAAACTTGCATTTCTTTTTGATGAAGATGCTTCCCGTGATAAGGATCTGGAGAAGGAACCGCCGCAGCATGTACAGAATAGTGTGTCAAACATAGAGAAAGTCATAGAAGAAGTAAATAAATCTAGCATAGAAAATAAAGCAGAAGAAGTTGATACAACTAGTGAGAAACCGGTTGTTAAGGTGGAGTCGTCTCGCCCCATACGTCGTGCCATGGAATACTCCAAGAGAGCCAAGCAACGACATAAAGAGCAGAAAATTATCGATAATCAGGATGATAATACAGAAGCTAATAAGGTGACGAACGAAAGTAATATAGATGAGAATGTGTTGTTAAATTCAACTAACACAACGACACAACTAAAGGATAACCAAGAAGATAATCAGCACATAATAGAAAGGGAAAAGGTGGCATTATCTTCTCCATCAGTCATTGACCCCGTAGAATCTAAAGAGAACCAAAGGAAACTACATGATACCAAGATGCAGATTTCTAATGAGGTTCCCAATAAAAATGGAGCAAGACATGTGAATGTCATGATAACAAAACCTCTGAAGCGCAATCGTCATTTCCACACCATAGAGAAAGAAGTAACGAAAGATGTACTGAGCAGTTCCAAACCCGTCAGTGAAGGGGAACTGGGAGTATCAACTGATTCTGACATAAACTCAGTAACTGAGCAAACAGCACCGGTGAAAGACAACATCGACCAACCCCAGTTATCTCATTCCTCTAGTGAAACCAAACTTGAGAACGGGAACACAATGACAAGGAAAATGAGCAAACTATCTAAACTAGCTAAGAGAAAAAAAATCAAAAGACATTTAGGAGTAGAGAAATTGCTGAATGAAGAAAGCGAAAGCAACACCATGAAAGCTGAAGAGGAAGCAACTCGGAAGAGGGCGGAAGAGGAAGCTGCCCGTAAGAAAGCTGAAGAGGAAGCTGCTCGTAAGAAGGCTGAAGAAGAGTCGGCTCGTAAGAAGGCTGAGGAGGAAGCTGCTCGTAAGAAGGCTGAAGAGGAAGCAGCCCGAAAGAAGGCTGAGGAGGAAGCGGCTCGGAAGAAGGCTGAAGAGGAAGCGGCCCGAAAGAAGGCTGAAGAGGAAGCGGCCCGAAAGAAGGCTGAAGA